CCAACTAAGTCGAGTGATTTGTGTTTAAAGCAAAAGTAGTAAGAAAGTAGGAAATGGTTCTGTTTTCAAAAGCAGGAAAGAGTCACTCGGGAATGAGTCCCCCTGGCTCCTTAGTTAGGTTCAATTGTAATTACCCTGGGTTGATTCACTATTGATTAGACTTCGGAAGATCCGACAGTAGCTTGGAATCTCTTAAGCTGACCAAGCCCTCTCAATCTAACTACCCGGCAGACGACTAGTCTTCACCGGGATAGAAAGCTGAGGCTATGAACACAAAACTCCACTACTGGAATTGAATTCCAGTACAAAGCAGTAAACTGGCTAACTCTCGTATAACCAATCTCCTACTATCGAATGACGAGGCTCTAACAACCTAATCAGATTCTATCTATCTCAGGTTGCAGCAGAAATCGAGAAAAGCTGATCAGACATCAATCAATTCAATAAACATGCATCATTCGATTAAAACCAAACAGTATAATCATCCCAAGTCATTACAATCAAATCCCTAACACAAGGAACTAGGGTTCTTCATACCCAAGTGAGAGAAGGGTTCTACTCGATAGAGAGAGAGAGAGAGAAGAAAACAGTAATCAGAGTAGTCATACTCATAAAAATGAGGAAAATCTGATCTGGGATGATGATTTCCACTCATATGACGATCTCCAAGCTCGATTTGACGAAACCCAGCTCCAAGATAGCTTCTAGGATGTGTTCTTCACACTTTCTCTCTCTAGGGCTCTGTTTTTGCTCTGAAAATCCGATTCGATCACTTTTGGCTCGAAATTGGCTGAAAAACCAAGATTTCCCGACTCACACGGGCCGGCCACACGACCATGTGGCCCACCCAGTTGCCCGTGTGAGTCAAAACGCGGCGTATGGATTAGTTGCACTTCAGGCTTCCCACACGGCCAGGGTCGCACGGCCGTGTGGATTTTCTGCCCTGCCCGTGTTTGTTCTCGGCGAAAATCACACGGCCACAAATGTTAGGTGCACGGCCGTGTGATGTCCAGGAATGCCCGTGCGGCTTCCTTAGCACCTCGCCACGCGTCCGATCTTCGTCCAATCGACCCCAAACTCGCTCCCAAGCCCCCATTCACGTACTAGGACCTGAAATATCACAAACAAGCATAACCTAGCGTGAAATCGGCCTACAACACGAGAATCAACACCTCAAACGGTGTAAGAAGAGGGGTAAAAACATGTATAATTAACGGTCTATCACCTGAATTGTGCTTTCTTCCAGAATAAAGCTCTTTAAAAGTTTCTCCAACAACTCACGTTGTAGCATTCTTCCCTTGACTTCAAGAATCCGACCAAAGCCACATCTCTTAATGGCCTCTGATTGACAAGCCTCTAAATTTGAGACTAGAGAGAATAATTTCCTGGGAGAACATCGCGTGCTAAAAAGGTCATGCCTCTTCGTCTTCATTATAAAACAATTTTAACAAACTACAAAATTATAAGCATGCCTTGAAAAACAAATTAGAAGCATGCCCAAGAGTACAAACAAAATACACAAAGCCAAAGTCGTCCTCAACTTATCTAAAAGAAGCAACTTTCAAAGGTAAACACATTCTAGAAAACGTGGTTATGACAAAGTTTGATTCCAGATAAGGATCATTCAATCATTAGGTAAACACATTCTCCAGGTAGTGACTTCAATCCTGATTTTCATTATATGGCTGGTATCATTGAAAAAATACAAGACTATACCACAACTCACAAGCACACTTGGCTCGATATCAAGTTCCAACTATCAGAAGAACTGAAAACCCCCCACTGAATACCTGAGTATACTAATTAACCATGAAATCCGCCATTGGCATATATAAAATCCACCCAAGACACACGGCTTTCATTAAACAGTTCTCACGGTTCATTCTCGTATTCTCATGGTCGTGACATGCCCCGTGAGAAGTAAAGAGCAGTTTTCATATCCCCAGGCAATCTCACGGCTTTGGCTTAATAAATCACGGCCGTTAAACGAAGCCGTGAAACTAAAAACACCTAGATTCCACTAAACATTATCACAGCTAATTCTGGAAATTTCACAGCCGTGACATCTTTTCATGAGGTAAGCAAAACATAATACTTCCTTTTCCCAGCTCTGATCTCATTCAACCTCAACAAGCTTTAACATTGAAAAATTCAAGTGATATCCCTACTAACTTGGGCAACATAACACCAACAAGAATAAGAGGGGGAATATGGAAAAGAACTTTGCAGCCACCAAAATAAGTAAATAGGGTTTAATCTGGTCATCAAAATAAGCTACACTAACATGGAATCTCGTTCAGTCTATCTATCAACACTATCGATTCAAGTCTACATTATTCTGTTGAATATAAGTTACAATGAAGTTAAATGTAGTGTCCAACTGTACATACCTCGATGATTCAGTAAGAACTGAGAACCTTAAGTCCACCAAACTTCCTCACAGCACGTTCCTCTGCAACCGATCGCTTGCTATGCTTGAACTTGAGCCGAGTCACACCCTCGTTTGTGGGCTTCCCATACACTTACAACTGTCTCTTTTGCCACAAGAACCCTAGAAATCCCAGTAGCACAGAACAAGTATGAACTTCAATCCCAGCAGCACTGAACAAAAGTATAAACCTAAAGAAGCTTAGTTTGCTAAGCTTCTCCACTTCTCCCTAACATATTATTGAAAAGATATCGGTCTTACAACTAACAGAAGACGAAGATGAAACTGTCAACGACATGAAAGTTTATTTTCCAACAATTCAATCTGCATATGATGACACCAGAGACCGATATATTAAACCCTTTTACTTTCTCCATTAACAGTCCAAAATGGAATCAATAATCTCTTTTGCTTCACATCATCTCTAATCCATTCCCACTCTATTTCCATCCAAACTGGCTAAAACTAAAGTCACCCTGATTTCATGAACTAATTCTTCACTAACAAACTCAATTGCACCTTTCATGCAGCCAAGCAAGACCCTTCCATTAACAGTCCAAAATGTAATCAACAGGCAACGGCAACGACACTACAATACCAACAAGACCAAATCAACTCTTCCAGAATTTTCTCTGCAGACTCACTTTCAAGGAAAACAATAATCCAACTTGTCTCAAGCCAAACTGAACATAATCAAACTTTGAGTATGAACTTTTTCATTCGATTTGCTCCATAAAACACAAATAAAGTCCCTCCAATCAAAAATTTAATACTGGCATGCATAAAGGAAGGAACACAATCGCTAGCTAGGTCAGATTGGAGCAACTTTTTTTGAGATCACGCATGGTTGAGATTAAGTCCAAGGTTAACTTGATGAATCATGCCAAAACCTATCACTTGATGAGTCTCTAATCAGAAAAATAATACTGGAATGCATAAAAGAAGGAACTAATGATTAAGCATGAGGAGATGTAGTACAAGGTTCACTTGATGAATCACGGGAAAACCTATCAATTGCATCACAATCTTGCTCTAATAGTAAACTGAAGTAATAATCACATAAACGTAGACGGAGCCAGCATTCAAACGAAATAAAAAGCTCAAATGAATGCAAAGAATCACATAAGACTAATGCTTCAGTTCACATCAACACAAAAGCTCATGCAAAGAATCACAGAAGACAAATGCTTCGATTACCCTTTTCTAGAACACATACACACAACAAGCATACTACAAGTAGTTGCTAGCTTAACAACAATGGTAACATGATTAGGACTCCTCTCCCAGGACTCACAAAGACAAGATGTTAGCATATTGATCTAATTAGGATTGTTTCCAAGAAATATTGGTTTTTGTATTGACAGCATGTTCCTTCCCACTGGAGAGCCACACCAAGGAAAATAGACCAGCAGAAGTAGAACATGCTACTTATCATGACAAGTTTAGAATCAACCAACTCACCCCTAATTTTGTAAACAATAAGACGGTCTACAAGATGAACTGCAATGGCTTTCAGAAGGATTTCGATCAACATCGACCTACATCTATGAGGTCCACTATTAAACCAATACAAGGACATCAACAAGCAACATCAAAACTTTACCAGTAGACTAAAACACTTCAACTCGCTTCAAACAATGCAATATGTTCTAATTGTAATCGTGAACTTGGAGCCTCCCATCACAAAAGTCAGCATGTAATGAATGATCCTCTGTCCATATCAGCATACAATACATCTTTATCGACCTTAAAAGCGTGCACACAAGGACTTTTCTACACTATCGTACTAAACTCGCCAACCCACATTCTTCTATCTGGTAAGTATCTCTGATAATCCTCCATTCTTTGTTCCAAGGTTTACCCCTCTAGTTGGTACAAACTGTACTTTTACCATTCTGAACCATTCTTTAGCTATCCCACGATCAACTTTCCTACCACTCACTAACCATCCTGTGATTTGGCAACCGATTCTATAGTAGACAACTTGACATTTCCAGAGAAATAAGTCAGACATTCAAAGCTAGTATAAGTTAAAGGATTCATTACAAGGTGCCCCAAGATCAGCTTTTTGATCGGTTACACCATTATTGTACTTGAAGCTGCTCCAAGAGATGCTCTAGAAGCTAGAGGGATATTTAACCCAAACTAACTTGAATCCATGTCAGAAATTGAATGTTTATCAAAGGGGGGATAAGAATTTCAGCCACTTACATCGAATGAATGACTGAGTCGTCGTTTCAAATTGGAAATCGAATTCTTTATCACCCAATTCTCGCTATTGCAAAAGTTCTCCTGCCCTGCGCCAGTTGACTCGTCGTTTTGGATTGGGCTTTGGAGTCTTTGATTCCTTTTGAGGCTTCCCTTAGTAAAAGAGTCTCCGCCACCTCACAATCTCACCGTTCCCGTCGCCGATGCTCAATCGACGAAGAGACCCACCGCGGAAGAGCACAGTTCACAATCGCGGAAGAGTAAAGTTGAAACCCCTCAATCTCTTTCTTCTCACAGCATCGTCACCCTAGATGCAGGTTCGTCGTCGCCATCGCCGTCACACTATTTCAGATGCAGGTTCGTCGTCGCCGCTAATCAACCCCGTCACTATCGACAAAGAGACGCTCTGACATTCCACCGCGGAAGAGAGGCTCTGAATTCCGACAAGCTCAATCGCCTTTACCCCGTCCCGACTGGATTTCAAATTTTTTTTTTTAATTATTACGTAACGAACCGGTGCAATAGGTTACCATTCCAACGAGTGAAAAAAATAATAATTAAATAACTTTAATCCAATGGCTGATATTTTATAACAAGATCTAATGGCTCTAAGTATATTAAAGCATGGGTGATATATAGCATACTAAAATGCCTCATATATACACGGCTGAGATTAAGTCGATACTATTAAGTTTGTAATTGACCAGCTTTGGGAACGTGCCTAAGGTCGTGTTCAGCAATGGAGGTTCTAGTAGGGATTTTTACCTGAGGGTTGTACTTGGTCATGATGGGGTTTTGAGCTACTACTCCTAACGGAAGAGGAACGATAGCATCCGCAATTGGAACAACGCGTCTTTCCTACCACCAAATGTCCAAATCTATGCTTGATAGCAATCGAGGAACCCCAGTGGAGCCGAGCTTGCGGCTACAGCAGTTCCTTCCTGCAACTGCAGAATGGCCAAAATCCCATTTGTGCCTTGCCTGTCAAGGAACACTTTTAAATTTTTTAAAAATTAAACATCCTCCTGTCGTCGCCTCGAAATGACTTGGTCGCCAGCTTTCAACTTCATCAACAAGCTCCGATTTCAGAAAGAGACAAGTGCTGAATTACAAAATATATATAATGACTAATGAGTAATGAAGAGTACTATTAACTGTAGAATTATTACAAATTGATTTATCTACTTTCTTGTCGTCGTCTTCAAACCTCTTTGTTTCAACAGCCGACTTGACCAAACGCTCGAGCTTCATCCTTTTTTTTTTCCGTTCGCCAACCGCTCAGCTAGCTGAGCTACTACTGCCGCTTTATCTTCCTTCAAGAGAGTGACTGCATCCGATAACTCAGCAAGATGACAAAGCAAAGCTGCTTTCTCCGCCTCTTCTCTTGTCTACAACCATCAAATCACAAATTAATCACATCAGCCACCCACAGTGTCAAGAAACCTAGATAGTAATGATGGTAATCAAAGCCGCCAAAATCGGGATTTTGCGTAAAATAAAAAATGGGGTAGTTTCAAAATCGTAGGATTTTAAGCTCGAGATAAAAATGAAGAAGAAATAATATTAACAAGGAAAATCACGAATAATACAAAAAACATATAACGCTTACAATAATAATTTCTGAAGATTAATGTTAAGAGTTGGCGAATCGATGGTAATTAATAAGTTGATGTGAATTGATGATGTTCTATGATGGTTAGTGTGAGAGAACTAGATGATGTTGGTGGAAGTGGAGGAGAATAAAAGAGCCATAATTTTGCAAATTCTGTTGAAAATAAGTAGAACCATAAGATTTTAAATATTTAAATAGTGAATAGCGTAGGATTTTAAGGTCCATAGATTTTATAGTGAAATCACAACAAGAATCAATGATATATAAGTAAAATCATGAAACCATGAAATTTTAAGATTTAAGTCGGGATTTATGTAAGTAAATCCAAGTAGATAATATTAGGAGTCCGGCATTAACTCTATATAAACCTAGGTAATTTCAATAATACTACACAATAGTTGCCACCCGAATTCTGATTATCTTGTAAAAACCTCTCCTGCAGCCAGTTATAACAAGGAGTCAAGGACGGTTTACCTTTATGATTGAGGGATCAAAACAATGGTACCAGCGAGCTTGGCACTGCTCGGCGGATTTACGAACGAAACACGAAGCGACTTTTTCCCACCCAAGATGGCCGTGCTTCTTAACCAGGCAGTTGAGCAGTAAGTCCTCCGTCACCAGCCACTCGTTCGTCGCGATAATCATTATTCTATGCTAACTGCGCAGTGGCCCAACAACAACAACAACAACAACAAGCGATCCTTGCTCTGGCTGGGTGACAATCTCGACCGCACGCTCAGGAACCCTAAATCGCTTCCGCCCCCGGGCTGCAAAGTGCAAACCCAGTAATAATAATCGGTAAAGCAGACTGGAATTCGACTGGGGAGGCTATGCCTATATATAAAATATATAAATAGATTAAATTAATATGGAGCACTATATGCATGTTCTACCTACTTGTGAATAACTCGAGGGAGAGAGAGAGAGAGTGAGAGAAGAGAGCGGCGGCGGTTAAGAGGCGAGAGGATTAGGGTTTGATCTCTTTGGAGGCGGCTAGGGTTTCGTCTTCTTTTCTCTGGAAGAGAAGAAGAAAGGCGAAGAAGAATCGAGAGAGGAGTGAGAGGGCGGCGGCTGCTGCGGATTGATTAGGGTTAGGTTAAAAAGTATATATACCATGAGTTTCAAAAAGACGAAAATGCCCCTAGGGTTTTCAGCTTATAACGCGGCCTTGCCACCTTCCTTTTCGGAATTTACAAAACTACCCTTCCCCCTTCTCTGAAATAAAACAAAAGAACCAAAAAAAATACTTGTGACGGGTTTCGAACCCGCGTACTAAGGGGCGAAAGTGCCCAAGCTAGTAACTTAACCAGTTGGGCCGCTGGCACTTCATGTTTTATTTTAACCATCCCGCTTGATTTTATATGTTTAAAGTCCTTAATACCAAATGTGAAATGCGGATTAAGTTTATCTCGTTTCTTTTCTAATACACGAAAATACATCCTAATTACTAAAATTCCTTACAATAATCAATTTAAATTTTACCAATAAAATTCTATTACGAGAACTACCTTCAGTAGAACGTGGTAAAAATTATGATTAAGCCTATCAAAGTTAACGAAAATATAATAAGAGAATTACGTTCAGTGGAACGTGGTAAAAGTTGCAATTAAATTATCAAAGTTCAAACGAACTACGTGGACTTTGATCCCGTGTTACGGGTACGTAGGCAACCGATAAGGTTCGAGTCCAACTAACCAATTAACTTCATCTTTTAATTTTTACGTCAGTGGGCGTATAATTAATTTACAACTAATACAACTTAAATTCTTTAGTGGTCTAGTAAGGCCCTAAAAATACCTAAATTACCTAATAATAAACTAATACATCAATGGATGTTTAGTCAAATTATATTTAATAAAATAACAAAATCATTTAATGGTCTAGTGGGATCCCAAAAATACATATTTTCTAAAATACACCCAACTCATAGAAACTTATCAGACTTTAGTAGTACCGATTTAGGGCGTTGTGGGGGTGTTGCTTAACTTCCCCACACGTAACCGTACTCCCGAACCCAGAGCTTTATTTTCGCAGACCATATCTCGGTTCTGACCCTAAGGTCGGAGCCGATTCGAAGAGTGTTCGATCCACTCCAAGTAAGATCGATGGCGACTCCAAAAAAGCCGAACGCGACCCCGACGGACCCCCGGAGAGACGGTTGCGACAACGTGATGTATTTATAATTTACGTGTTGTTATATAATGGTGTTATGTAAATTTTTTGTAATGTGTGGTCTAATAATAAAATCAAATTAGAAAAAGTATCATATTTGACTACAATATTATGTAAAAGTTAACTTACTTTATGAAACATTTTTGTAATGCGAATTGATGAGATAGTGAATATGGTAGTTAATAATAAATAATTTTAATAAATTATTAAAGAATTAAATTAAGAAGAGTATCACAATTGATTAAACTATTATGTGAAAAGTAACTAACCTTATAAAAAATTTCTATAATAAAATTGATGAGATGATCAACCTTAAAATATCATTAAAATTTATATTACAAAAGACTTATGTGAAAGTGAACTGTCAGCGTGGAGCAAAGAGAAATATGGAAGTATAAGAGGAAGGCTGGGAATTATCAAAAAGAAACTGAGGAAGCTTCAGTACCAACCAAGAACAGAGGAGGTAATAGAACAGAGGAAAAGGCTGGAAACTGAGAAGTCTGACTTACAGTATAAACAGGAGTTATTATGGAAGCAACGATCAAGGATGGATTGGGTAGGGGGGACAAGAATACTAAGTATTTTCATGCAAAAGCAACAGCCCGAAGAAAAAGGAATACTATAAAGAGATTGCAAACTGAAAATGGGAGGATATATGAAGGACAAGAGGAGGTAATAGAGTGTATTAATGATTTTTATATCCTCTTTTCACAAGTGACAATAATCTGAATGACAAAGAGGTGATCAAAGCTATCAATCATAAGGTGACAGAAGAGATGAATGACTATCTTATAAGGGCAATTACAGAAGAAGAAGTTGATATGGCAATTAAGCAGTTGGGTCCTTATAAAGCACCAGGCTCGGATGGGTACTCAGCAGGGTTCTATCAAAAGAACTGGGACTGCATTGGTCCTTTTGTTAGAAAAGCAGTTATTGAGTTCTTGGAAAAAGGGTATCTCCCTTCAGAAGTGAATCATACTTTGATTGCCCTTATACCTAAAGTTAAGCAGCCTGTTTCACCATCTGAATACAGACCAATAAGCTTATGCAGGGTCCTATACAAGATTGTTTCGAAAGTGTTGGCAAACCGGATAAAAGTTATTCTGGATGAGCTGATTTCAGAGACACAAAGTGCATTTGTACCTGGCAGGTTAATCACAGATAACATCATTGCAGCTTTTGAATGTTTTCATTCCATGAAGAATAAGAAGAAGGGGAAGAAAGGAGTCAGTGTTGTTAAGCTGGATATGACAAAAGCATACGACAGGGTTGAATGGGGCTTCTTGGAAGAAGTAATGAAGAAGATGGGTTTCCATGATAGGTGGATTGGATGGATAATGATGTGTATAACATCTGTCTCTTATTCCGTTCTTGTTAATGGACATAAGTCCCCAACATTCTGCCCTTCAAGAAGATTGTGCCAAGGTGACCCGATATCACCCTATCTCTTTCTGCTTTGTGCAGAGGGCTTATCAGCATTGTTAAAACGAGCAGAAAGCAGGAAAGAGATCAAAGGTATAAAAATCTGCAACGGAGCACCGATTATAACACACCTATTTTTTGCAGATGACAGTATAATCTTCACACAGGCAACAAATCAGGAGAGTAGGAAGTTGAGGGATATTCTGAATATTTATGAAAAGGAATCGGGACAGAAGGTGAATCTATCAAAGTCTGAAGTTACTTTTAGCAAAAATGTGCAAAGGGATCAAAGATTGGAGATATGTGGGGAGCTTGGGGTAAGGGAGGGTGATAAACATGGAAAGTATTTAGGGCTGCCAACTCTCATTGGGCGAGCTAAGAAGGCAGTCTTTGAGGGAATAAAAGAGAAGGTTATAACAAAACTTAAAGACTGGAAAAGCAGGACGATGTCGAGTGCAGCTAAGGAAATCCTTATCAAAGCTGTTGCTCAAGCTCAAGTGATGTATGCTATGTCAGTTTTTCAACTTCTAGAAGGGCTGATTGATGAGATCCAAAGTTTAATATCAAACTTTTGGTGGGGAGAAAAGGAAAATAGAAGCAAGAAGCATTGGATTAGTTGGGATAAATTGTGTGATCAAAAGAAGTTTGGAGGGATGGGTTTCCGTGATCTGAAGGGATTCAATAAAGCTTTGTTGGCAAAACAACTTTGGAACGTGATTACAAGACCAAATTCACTAGTGGCAAAAATCCTAAAGCTAAAATATTATCCTAGATCATCCTTTTTTGAGGCCAGAGCAAAAAAAAACCGAAAGCTTCATTTGGAAGAGTTTACTGGGTGCTAGGAGTCTGTTAAAAGAAGAAAGTAGATGGAATGTGGGAGATGGGAATAGTATAAGGGTGTGGGTAGACAAGTGGATTCCCTATAAGAATTCACAGAAGCCTGATTCTCTAAACCGCGCTATTGACCCTCTTCAGAAGGTGGAGTCTCTCATTGATCATGCAAGTGGGGGCTGGAGTTTGGAAGCTTTGCAAGGAAACTTCAGTGACTCTGATATTCATCTTATTAGCAGAATCCCTCTACAAAACCAGATGAATAGCGATAGGCTTGTTTGGTCTCACACAAAAAATGGACAGTTCACGGTTAAATCTGCTTACCTTCTCTATCGCAGTCTAAAGGGTGCAAATGATAGGAGAGAGTTAAGGAATCATCAATCTAGCCCTGCTTTCTGGCAAAAATTATGGAAATTGCAGATGCCACCGAGGGTTAAACAGTTTATGTGGAGGGTTGGGAGAGAAGTTTTGCCAACAGGGGTGAAAATCTCTAGTTTTATTGACGATGCTAGTGATGAATGTTTTTTTCTGTGGGTTACCTGAATCGCTGCAGCATATACTGTGGGATTGTGCCTGGGCTCGAAGAATTTGGCGAATGAGTTGGGTGGCTGATTGCTTTGCCGAAGGTGATAACATATCTTGCTGCGAATGGATTGAAGCGGTGTTTGAAAAACATTCGGAAGAGGAGATCGCGCATTTTTGTTCGCTTTTGTGGTTCTTGTGGAAAGAGAGAAACAACCATGGTAATAATAAAGGGAAGCTGAAAGAATCAGAGGTTTCCCAGAAAGCTCAAAGGTGGCTTAACAGTTACCTGGATGCACAAAAATCATATGAAGCAGTTTTACATGGTACGACACAGAATCAAAGAGCTTGGATCAAACCGCCGCAGGGAGCTTTCAAGCTAAATACAGATGCTGGTGTGTTTGGAGACGGAATTGGAATGGGAGGAGTAATCAGGGATAGCAATGGCAGATTTATGATGGGTTTTTCAAAAAAAGAAAGAGGAAGATGTGGAGTGGAGTGGAGGAGGCAGAGGCCCGAGCGTTACTTGTGGGCGTTTCTGAAGCTATTAATATGGGGTTTTGGCCGATCTCAGTAGAAGGTGATTGTCAAGTGTTGATGATGAAGATGGTAAACAGGGAAGAAGACAGAACAGAGGTAGGTAGGATTTGTCAATACCTACGTCAATTGGGAGAAGAAGGAGGAGGAAGAGAGAGGAAGGTAATTGATTGGAGGTATGTTCCGAGAACAGCAAATACAGTGGCCCATGTTTTGGCTCATTATCAAGTGGACTGGGACCATCTTGAGTATTGGATTAAAGATCCACCATCTTGTATCTCTGAACAACTGAACAGAGAGAGTGGAGCACTGTAACCGGTTGGTTCATTAATAAAATACAGGTTCTTATAAAAAAAAATAATAAATAATAAATAATAAATGACTATCTCTCCATAATTTTTTATGTATTGTCTTAATCCCTACAAAATTCACACCTATTATGTTTTGTTTAATTGATACATAAAAAAAATTGATACTTTAAAAAGGCCTATCTCTCCATATGTCTTACATAATGTCTTAATCATTACGAAAGTCACACCCTATTGTTAGTAAACGGTATATGATCCACGATTGAACCTCCCCCAA